ATATATATATATATATAAATATATATAATATATATATAATATATATATATATATAATATATATAATATATAATAATATATTAATTAACACCCCTCTCCTCTCTACATATTCAATTTTCCGCCGCCGCCGATACTCTTCGTCTCTCTTCTCGGTTCTCCTCTCTCACGAAAACACGTCGCCACTACCGCGCTCCACCTCTCCCGCACCAACCGCCACTTGACTGACCGCCGCACCCGTGGCGCATGCTCACGTTGACCAGCCCCTCGACCTCCCCGACCTCCACGAACTCTGACCAGCCGCCAACCTAGAAGAACCGCCGCCGACAATGCCCCTGACTCACTCCCCCACCCCATGCACCCCATCTGACTCGACCCTCACCCGAAGGCCATCACCAACCTCCCCACACGCCATCCACCACCCCCCACACTCACCAGACCCTCCGACCTCACCGCCTTAAGATCCCGACGCCAGAACAGACACCATGTCAGTTTTCTTTCCTCGCGCACTAGATTTCCACCCGCTCAGCATCAAGTCCAGCCGCCAGCTCCTCGCGCCCCTCTCGCTGCCCAAACACCCGACCGCAAGCGAACATTCTTGCCATTGAGCAGGCCGCCCAGCCGCACTTCACGCAAGCACAGCCGACCAGCTCACTCAGATTCCTCCGACGCGGATCGGGCTCCAAGCCGCGCACCGTTGTTCGCTCGGGCCTCATCCGATATGAACTAGCAGCCGCCGCGCTCCCACTACCACGCTGACCGTCGCGCAAGGTACAGGCACCGAGGCGTCACGTCGGATCTGAATCTCGGCAGCGATCGAGCGTCGACAGGTGATGTTGACGTTCGATGAATGACACCGAGGCTTCCTTCATATGTCTGAGCGTTAACAAATATTATCAATTAAATAATTTAATTAGATATGATAATGTCGGTAATGTGCATATTGTGAATATTTGACGTGGAATGTGGATAAATAGTATTAGATAATATTTAGAAGTAATAATAAGATATTTAGTGGTAATTATGTCGGAGAATTTAACGAGCATGAAATGATGAGTTGTAAACAGATTTTGCGAGACATTAATAATTTTGTATATTTATATATAAATATTTTTGGACATGAAATGACAAGTTATGAGTTAAAATTAGAATATATATATATATATATTACATAAATATTTTTGTTCTAAATTAGTTATTATGAGAAATAGTTTTAAAGAATAATTTTGGAAAAGAATATTTAGTATGTATGATAGTATGACTGATTGACATTTCATGTGCAAAACGACATCGGTTTACAGTTTTCTTTTTCTGCATTACTATATTAGAGGATATTTAATTAAGGTTAGTTTACAGGAGAAGTTTGGACGCCTCAGTAGTAAGATATTAATGAAGTCTATTACATGTGTTTTTATGTTGTGTAGACTTTGTTCATGCTTTCCGTAATTCGTTTGCAGTTATTACTCATGCCATATGAACTTGCTTAATCATGTTCGACATGCCATGTTATCATTGTGTATAATTAGTTTTATTTATTACCTCTTGTAGTAATTGATAACCTTAGTCGTTCATGACTTAGTTGCCTTGTGCGTTATGGACAGACCTAGTGACATGTGTGGGTGTGTTGACTGAGCTTAGGTGGTGAACTAGAGTTTTAATTTGACATAGAAAATGAGAAGTGTTGGGATGGGGAAGTCCATGTTCATGTTATCGGATGTGATTATTGATTATTTCCAGGCTCGCACCAGTGAACCGTTTCGCACTGGCGTGAGTCTGAGGACCAGTGATCGGATATGTTTGTTGGTTATTTTCAGGCTCGTACCAGTGAAACGTTTCGCACTGGAGTGAGTCTAAGGAACAATGATTGGATGTGTTTGTTGTCTATTTCCAGGCTCGCACCAGCGAAACGTTTCGCACTAGGGTGGGTCTGAGGAGAGGTGATATTGTGATTATTGATTATTTCCAGGCACGCACTAGTGAAACGTTTCGCACTGGGACGGGTCTGAGGTACTAGTGAGATGTGGTTGTTAACCAGATATCTGATAATGTGAACTTTGACTCTAGTAAGATGTGGACCAGTAATTCTATTATAGGATGACTAGTTACGTGACATTGTTATTTAAGATGTCTATGGATTCTTGTGAGAGGTAGGACAATTGTATTTTCTTTTCATACATAGATCGGGATTAATATTTAATTATCTACAATTTGAAATATATGGTATATACATGAGGGTTTCCTTGTTTGGATTATTTCGCTCGACGTACTACGTTTCGAGTTGTAGATTTTTAAGTATTAATTTTATCTAGTTGTATGACTTTGTTATTCGGATGTTTATGGATTTTCTGAATGTTATCGTTAGTAGTGGATTGCATGTTGTTTTGGTTATACTCCTAGTTGCATGCTTCTTTGTTATTTTCGTTGTTGCATCAGTTTTCGCATTGGCCATACGACCGTTATATTTTTCCATGTGAGATCTTGTCGTGTGTATACACACTGACGTACTCCTATTTTCTGGGTGTACGTCAGATTTAGGAGACAGACAGCCTCAGTTCAGAATCGTACAGGAACTAGATGATTCTCAGTAGGAGCGCCTTGCAAGTGGAGTAGAAGAACAAGCTGAAGCGTAATAGTTTTCTTCTGTACTAGCTGATGAACACTAGAACTCTTTTACAGTATTTCTTTAGTTTTATGATGAATTTAGTTATTTTATCAGTACTTTTATTATGGACTATGTATTTTATTCCTAGTTGAACCGTTTTTGTAATAAGGGCGTGTTTGACCCATATTTTTATGTCTGGGATGATTTACTATTGATGATATGTCTATTACTTATTCTGGGTTGTCATTATATTTTTTGCTATGTGTGATCGGGGACCTGTGACTTCGCATTGTATTTATTTCCAGACGCTTAGCGTATTGGATTGAGAAGAAAAGAAGAGAAAAAATGATAGTGTATATTTCTTCTCAACCTAATACGTCGCGGGCTTATTCACGTTCCGATTCCCGGGTATTTTGGGAAACGGGCCGTGACACAATGGGTTAACTTGTCTAAGTATTATTTATCAAACTATTACAAATAATTATGAAATTGATTCAACTTTATAGCTAAATAACCGTCAATGAACATTCACATAAGCAGTTAGTTGTAATATTATATTTTTCTACGAGTTACCAAATTTGAGCTGGCAGAACAAAGATGCAAGCGAATGTTCGTGAAACCAAATCCAACAAATAAATGCTAGCTTCAGAAAAGAAACACCGCTGGCTCACTACCGGGTCCAATTTTTCCCATTTTAGTAACATTTATGCCAGAATTATTACATCTATTTATATTTCTTTGATATCATCACAAAAGAAAACCCTGAGGCAGACACATTTCCATGTGAAATTTAGACGAAATTACCTCCTTTTCGCCAGGGAAAACATCTTTGATCGCCTTCCTCACCTCCTCGGTTGATGAGACGGCAACTCCCCTTGGGACATTAATCCCATGCTTACTCATCAAATCCGAACTCTGTCGTAAAATTAAAACGGATCGTTAAACACGAGATCAGTTAGATCGATCAGATATTAACGAATCAGAACGAGATAGCATCAGTAATCAGAAGAAGAAAAAACCCTAGGTTTGGGACCTGGTACTCGTAGATGTTGAGGCGACGAAGTTTCCCAACGATGGAGAGAGATCGAGACGCGAGATTTCCGAGCAATCCCCTCACCATCTTCCTTTTCCCTTAGATCTGATCGACAACAAACCCTAGATTTTGACGAAGATGGCAAAGCAGAGGAGGAGGATGCCTGCTGACGTTGTGGAGCCGAAGGTGGACCAAAGGACGATGTTTATGATGTGGCGCCCCGGCCAGGCGAAGGCGAGGATGATGCTGAGGGCGGCGGAGCCCTCAATTGGAGGGAGCCAGAATTGGAGGGCGCGCTTCTCTTTTCTGGAAGATGAAGAAGGAAACGGCGGAGGAGGGGACTCGCGAAGGGGAGGTCGGAGTGGAGGGGGGTCTGACCGGAGCGGTCGAGGGACGAAGGAGCCCGTAAGGGGGGTTCCTTCCTCTTTCGATTTGGGGGGAAAAGAAGGGGGGCTGGGTTTTGACGCCTTAAATTTTTTTTTTTAAATTTTCACGTATCATGGACGGAAATTTTCCTTCTAGTATGTATTCTAGACGGAAATTTCCGTCTAGAATAACTATAAATTTAAAAAAATAATAATAAAAATAAAATAACCGTCTAGGATACTATTCTAGACGGAAATTTCCGTCTAGAATATTTTATCCTAGACGGAATATTCTAGACGGAAATTTTCCGTCTAGTTTAATACATTCTAGACGAAAAAAATTCCGTCTAAAATATTCCGTCTAGAATACGTGGTTTTCTACTAGTGGGCACTGTTAAATAATGAGGTATCCTAGACGGAAAATTCCGTCTAGGATACCCAGAATTCCGTCTAGAATGCTTATTCTAGACGGAATTCCGTCTAGAATACGCGTCTAGTATGTTTCCGTCTAGGATGTAGTATTCTAGACGGAAATTCCGTCTAGAATACATCCTAGACGGAATATTCTAGACGAAATTCAAAACCGTCTAGAATACATCCTAGACGGATTATTCTAGACGGAATTTCCGTCTAGAATAATTCATCCTAGACGGAAAAAAATTCCGTCTAGAATGAGTATTCTAGACGGAAATTTCCGTCTAGAATACTCATTCAAGACGGAATTTGATGTTTTTTAATTTTTTTTTGTTAAAAAAGGCATCCTAGACGGAATTTGAGCATCCTAGACAGAATTTCCGTCTAGGATACTATGCTACAGTGTTTTTTTTTTAGAATCTACTTTGGGTGCATGTACACAATATTGAACAACAAAAAATTATATTCATATCCAACACAATCTAATTATATTCCAATATCAAATCCCATTATATTCAAATAATACATTCACCAAAATAGTAGAGAGATACATAATTTTTTTACAAATTTTTACATAAATTATTTACAAGAGGTTCTGTATGCTCCATCGCACAACATTACGCACAATTCCTCCTCTTTGGAAAAATCGAGCAACAACAAAAGCTACATCCTCTGCGGGCCTATGAGGATCTGGTGAATCCCAACTTTTAAAACTGTGAATACGTATAATCATCAAAAGTATAATATAAATACAGAAAAAACATAAAAAATAAAAATATAAAAGAAAATTTTAGAAAAATACCCACCAGCCAGTCCAATTTTCTGTCCACATCTTAGGACTCGTTTCATTGTTTGGCTTGAAGCTATCACAATAAAAACCATTGCAAGTATTTATCTGATAAACCAAATAAAAATATAAGTTTCCCTCAAAAATATTAAAGTAGATCAGTACTGTTACAACTGAGAATACAATATTGCATAAGTTTTATTGCATAAGTTGTTCACAAGAGCTCTAGGAAGTCTTATTGCATAAGTTTGTTTTCACTGAGAATACAAAAAACCTCTTAACAACATGATGTTAACTAAGCATATACTAGAGCATCTCAACAAGTACTGTGATCTCAAAAGGTCATGACCAGACAACAGATTTCAGAAGACATTCACATAAGCAAGCACGACAATGATATAGCAAGAAACATGAAAATCATTAGCTACGTGTTCTATATAACTGACAGATTTGAAAATATCAAAGCAGGGACTAATACCACACGAACTTAAGAATTAACCCATCTTATTAGTAATTCCAGTGATTTGAAAAACTAATATCACAGCAAGTTAAGAATTAATTGGGAGACTTAATTAATAGCACTTTCAATAATCAAATTTAGGGAGTTAAGAATTGAGCACAAGTTAAACATTAAACCTGAGGTGTTCAATGTGTGAGAGTCCATATACTTCATTACAAACTTAAAATCATCCAAGCCAAACTATCACTAGTTGATTATGTTGACATTGAGTTTGCGCAGACACGTCTATATACACAATGACTAAACATAGTAATGTTAAAACAATGTTAATGTAACACAACAAGAGTATAGAAATATTTCCAATCTAACTAAAGAAATATTCAGTTCATATTAAGTTACTTTCATTCTGATAATTTCAAACTTTTGTAACTACATAATCTTAAATTTGCATTTCTCAACTTCCCAAAATCAGCAGAACTCTGAATAGGTTTAATTTCTTTTACCTGCTTCGTGATGTCATCTGCCTTTTTTTTAAATTTCCACGTATCCTAGACGAAAATTTCCGTCTAGGAAGTATACCCTAGACGAAAATTTTCGTCTATGATACGTGGAAATTTAAAAAAATAATAAAAATAAAACAACCGTCTAGGATACTATTCTAGACGAAAATTTTCGTCTAGAATATTTTATCCTAGACGGAATTTTTCCGTCTAGTTTAATACATTATAGACAGAAAAAAATTCCGTCTAGAATACGTGGTTTTCTACTAGTGAATGTTGGTTACTTCGATTATGACGATGTACCATTATTGGAAAGAAGTTACTCATAGTGCGGAGGAGGTTGCGGAAATGGAGAAGGAAATAGATGAAAAAGAATTGAAAAAAAGGAGAAAATGAGCAAGAAGATAAGGAGGAAGAGAAAGTTGGCTAGCAAGAAATGGAAGTTTAGAATGTGGAGAAAGTTGAAGAGAATGAAGAAGGGGAAGAAGAGGATGGTGAGAGTGTGGAGAAATAAGAAGAGAAGAGAGAGGAAGATAAAGAAGAGGAGAAAAAAGAGGCAGAGAAAGAGGAGGAGAAAGATGAGCAAGAGAAAAGATAAGAGAAGAAAGATGAAGAGAAAGAGGGGGAGAAAAAGGAGGCACAAGTTTATAAGAAGAGGAGGAATAAATTAGTTTCAAAGGGGACAAGGGGACCAAGTACCAGGATTAGGACGTGATCACAACTAGTCCGAACTCCTTTCACTGAAGAAAAGAAGAAGGAAGTTCGTCCAGAGATAATTACAATATCACACCACAAGGATGATGAGAGGCCAATAATCACGTACTACTGTATGCCTGATGAATGCAGTTGGGATTTGCTGAAGAACATGAAAATAAAGAAGGAGGAGGAGGCTCTTCTGAAGTTGTTAAACGAGGGTATTCCTAATGTTGATGATTTGACATATGTTTGGTTGATAGTGAAGGAAAATTCGTTCACAACTTTAGAATATCCCATCATATAGCGTCAAAGCTCGCACCAGATGAGAACAGATGGGTCTCAAATTTTTTCAATCAGAAAACCCATCAGTAAGTTTAGTAATTCTCCTTAATGTTTGGCTGCATATTACCTGGGATCTTGTATACATTCATGTTAACGTTTCTATATATATGTTAATATTAACAGATATTTGTTAACTTATGCCCATTTATGTTAACTTTTACAAGAACATGTTAGCTTTCACTGTTACATGTTAATATTTCCAGACTTATGTTAACTTATGCCCATTTATGTTAACGTTTACTTGAACATGTTAGCTTTCACTGTTACATGTGCATGTTTATCAGCAACTGTTAACATTTGTGTCTTACTGTCATATTTCAGGTCGTGTATTATTGTTAATTCGTTGAACAATCGTTTCGATTCTTTGGAGCTTCTTTATCTGCTATGTGGAGGACGTATCTATGACCATGCAAGTTTAATATGTTAAATATATGCATTTCTGGGATTTCTTTTGTGATGTGTTGTTAACCACTTTCATTTGCATCTCTTGCATGGTAAATTTACAGGTCATGGAAGAGTTGATAGATAGAATAAGCACATGGCTAGAGAGACCAGAAATTGCATCCCTGAGCAAGAATTATGGGGTTGTATCAACATTCTTTGCCTTAAGTATTAGTTTCAAACTCCTAAGTTTCTTTAACTCTTGTTTACAACCGGCATAACATTATCTATTTAGCAATACAGCATAGCCTTTATGCAAAGATTCTTGATTTTCCACATCTGTACACTTCATTTATACAAAAACATGTTGCTGCGAGCAAGAGTATACTCCTTAACCCGTTTGTGCGTCAGGACCACTGGCATGTTGTTGAAGTCAGTTTGGATGAGAACGTTATTAAGCATTACAGCTCGGCTGGCCATAATAGGTATATTGAACCAGTGAATAAAATAATTAGTTTCATGGATCATATGAAGTCTGGTTTTGATTCCCATAATGTTTGGAGAAAGTTCAGATATGAAGTCGTCCCTTGCGAGCAATAGACTGGAATGTTAGTATTTCACAAATTTAATATTTTTTTATTTTATCCAGCGTCATATATCTAACTAGCTTTGGACTTTATATCATGCAATTTCGATTGTGGGTTTTTTGTTCCCTTATATATAAAGGCTATAATCCGTGGGGTTGATACGATTCAGGTAACTAATCCCGATGATGAGTTTGACGTTATCCGTGTCATGCTTGCAGCTGAACTTCTGATGGAAGGGTGGGAACAGAATAAACAATGGGGGACATTAGAAAAAGATGGGTGAAAGTTGTGCTAAAAATTAAGGAATTGAACAGATAAGGATGGGAACAAAACTTTCTTGTATATTAATTTAGTGGTGTAAATGGTTGATGTTTGCGTCGAAATTTGATGTATTCATTGCGGTATTCATTACAACTTCAGTCGTTACAATGAAAACAAAAAAAGATAGTCTTTTTATAAGACTCTTACATAATAAAAACAAAAATTACAATTCTCGTCAAAATAAACGCAGGGAGATCGTTTATCGGTTTCTTGCTTGTGTGGGATCTTTGCCTGTGCCGGGGATTTTAATATCCGTGGACCACCTTAGATCTGGATCCGGTTGATGAAAAATTGGACAGAGCTTTGCCTTCACCGAGGGAGTATTTGATTAAAGCGCTGAAATCGACCAAGCGAAATCAGTAGCTCTTCTCGAGATTAAGACAAAGCCTAATCTCAAGGAACGGACGTACGAGCTTCAGATCATTCGAATAGCTCATTCTTTATGCTGGAGTTTGCCGGGATCTCGCTAACCCTCGTTGAAATTCGTGACTCTTGGCTCTGGAATTCGACAGCACCTCCTCCTCTTGATAATAAATCACCCTCGCTGAAAAGAGGCCCTAGGCTTATATTTATAGGGCTCCGGATGCGGGTATGTGGATGAGAATGAGTGGTTTGGCCTTATCTTCAGTTAATAACGACCTAACCACGTTTGTAGATGATATCAAGTCAGTTGGGAACCCCTGGAACAGATAAATCCCTAGAAAATCGTACAAAACCGTCGAAAAAACGTGTTTCCTGGTCAAAACAGCGCGACGGGCGCTGCTGACCCGCGGGGGGCGCGGGTCGGCGTGGTCTAACCCGCATGTGCGCGGGTCGGACGTAGCCGGGTCGGCGCGGTTCGACTTGCGCGGGTGCTGGTAATTCGGCTCTTTTGCTGAACTATTTGGTGTTTTTTGACTTTTCCGGGACTTGTATTTTCCACCGTTTTACGTGTTTGACCATCTTTTTTACTTGTACGATTTTTGCTAACTTGCTTCATGCACTCGTTAGCTCCTTTATGGCACTTGGAACTGACCAATAAGCGCAAGTTGACTGACGAGTACGAACTGATTAACACGCGCGAGTTGACCGAAGTGCGTGAACTGATTGACGCGCGCGTGTTGATCGACGCGCGCGAGCTGATTGACGAGCGCGGGCTAACCGACGCGCACAACTGATTGATGCGCACGTGTTGACTGATGCACGTGAACTGATTAACGAGCGTGTGTTGATCAACGCGCACGAACTGATTGACGCGCGCGTGTTGACCGATGTGCACGAACTGATTGACGCGCGCGTGTTGACCGACGCGCGCGAACTGATTGACACGCGCGAGCTGATTGACACGCGCGGGCAACTTGGTTCGTCGTTTCGCTTCATGCGCTTGTCGACGACAGATAATCCTCTTAGACTTGGATAATGACGTTCGTTGTCTTCTCTCCGTCTCGAGCTGTGTACGGACACCTATAGGCATTTTTAGACACCTACAGTTGATAGTGTGGATGACAAACTACAACGCAAGCTTGAACTTTATTGTTGTTAACGTTTTTATGGTATTTTTGCTACCACATGTATTTAACAGTTATTTAGTTTTGATACAACATGTTAATGGAAACAATACTTAACCTTTGCGTCCATCAAGTTAACATATTCCAGTAAAAGTTAACATGTATGAAGAAAAGATAACATGTACCTATGAAAGGTAACCTATTACGCTTAAAGTTAACCAGTTTCAGTAAAATTTAACATGTCAACCTGAATGTTAACTACTTACCGTAAAAGTTAACATGTAAATATGAATGTCAAACACTTTCAGTAAAAGTTAACATGTCAATCTGAATGTTCGTAAAAGTTAACATGTAAATATGAATGTCAAACACTTTCAGTAAAAGTTAACATGTCAATCTGAATGTTAACCACTTTCAGAAAAAGTTAACAAATGTCAAACACTTTCAGTAAAAGTTAACATGTCAATCTGAATGTTAACCACTTTCAGAAAAAGTTAACATGTAAATCTGAAAGTTAACCACTTCTAGCAAAAGATAAAATGTTAATGTTTAATAAACTTACAAATCATAATTTTAAATAAAATTTACAAATCACAATCCTCAATTATAACTTGAAGTTTCTTCAATTCATTTTTAATTTACAAATCACAATGTTTAAGAAAATGAGAACCATACAAAAACAACACAGAAAGAATGAACAAAATTTCCATTTTTCGACTTCACGGTTCTTTTGCTTCAATGCTTTCTTCAACTGATTTGTTTTGGTTGTTATCTCATCTTCAACGGGTAATTCTTGGTAAACTGGAATGTTCTTTTTCATTGCACTAGCATTGTGAGCCCAAACAAAAAACTTGCATTGCTTATTTGGGAACTTTGCACATCCCCAGAAGTATCTACCTTTATTCCTCCCATTTTTGCACTACGTGAGGTGTGTTGGAATTTTACAGAAACAACATACATCTTCTAGTGCTTGAGACCCCTCCGATGTATTCATATCACAATCTCAAAATGGGAATCAATGGATTATAGAACTTCTGATGAGGTTGTAGCATTGCTTTGCTCACTCTATATATTGCATTTGGAACAACAAGCTAGCCGTTGGAATATGACTGCTGGAACAGTCAGGCAGCTAGCCGTTGGAATATGACTGCTGGAACAGTCAGGCAGCTAGCCGTTGCAATATGACTGTTGGAACAGTCAGCAATTTAAA